GGGGGGGGGCTGGAGCTTATTCCATTCAGCACATCCTGCATGGGATGCCAGTCCACTGAAAGCAATGGAGACATTCACTCACCATGTGCAATTCAGAGACATCAAGTGGTCAAACTGCATGTCATGCATGTCTGCATGGACTGCATCAGGAAAGTGGAGTGCCTGGAGGACCCCCCCCCCCACACACACACACACACACACACACACACAGACATACAGACACACACATCCAGTGAGGGGGAGGGGGGAGTTGGGGGGGTCCAAACACTGAGGTTCGAAGTAACAGCCCCTGCTACTCCCATCTGGTTCACCTACATGTTCCTGATGGTTAGGAGTATAATCTGGAACTAACTGAAGATGAGTACAAAACTAACTTTCTTTGCAAGCAGTTAATCTAAAATTTAATTTCTGAAACAAGACTGGAAAAAGGTAATAGGGGAACCTGTTCTTCATAATCTTTTTCTCTATTTTCAGAAGACATCCTGAGATGGAATTTCAGAACATTCAATTAAAAAGACTACAGAAGCCAACTAATCTGCAACCTAGGGTGTCAACACACCACATTAATTTAACTTTTGGGGTTTCGTAACAGAAGGGAAATGGGGAGAAGATGAAATCTGAATTCTAGCTATTTACATCATTTCCCTTTCCTGCAAGTAAGAGAAGGCAAACAGGAAGGTTTGGTAATATTGACCTGCTGGCAATTATTGTAATCTTCTTATGCTTAGCTACACTTTTACCCAGAGCTATACTAAGCTAAGTCAAATGCTCCTTGAAAACTGTGGCATTAATGAGCTTAGAGTGAAACAAAAGAAAATGACTGGTGAGGGGACAGTAATTTTTATGCTATCATAGGGCAATTTGGTGGCAGGATTGGCATTCCAGCCGCTGGAAAAAAACTCCAACTGGTCCATTCGGTGGTCCATTTAATGGCCGCCGCATGGCTGCACTCAGGTTCTCATCCCTGAGGTGGTTTGTCATGTGGTGGGTAATCAGCGTGTGCTCCGTACCTCATAGGCCAAGGCCCTTCTCCGTGTCAGGAAAGGAAACACTATTAACTGAACATTGCTAATGTTTGCCTGCCAGAGCTACATTAGATCTAGTTCCTACATGCTGTCTGCTCTTAAGGCCTCCACTGTGGAAATGAGTTGATCATGTTCACCTAGACATTTGCTTAATGAACCTGAGACACTCAGAGCTGGCTGACGCAGACCGTAGTCTTCAATGACTCTGCTATCATGTTCCTTTTAGCTGGAACGTGAACCGGCCTCTGCTGAGGACTCTCCGGTGGGGCTGGAGCTGCACAGTGCCCTGCCGCTCACGTGAGCTCACCCTGCTGCTGACAGCAGAGTTGTTATTTACAAGCCGTGGAAGCCTGGTAGGTGATAGTCAAGCTAATGTGCCAAATACGATAAGCCCACACTCTTTTATCTAAAGTCCAATGACACGACAGTGGTTCAGCTGAGAACATGCTACTTAACATGATGCAGAACAAAAAGGTGTGTTATGTTCACTTATCAAAGACTGAGTTTGGGTATAAAGAACATGTGGTTAGATGGATCACTGTCTTTGAATTGCCCATAGTGTGTGATTGCGGCACTGACCTATCATCCAGAGCTTCCCCTGCCTTGTGTCCAGAGCTTTGTAGATAGGTTCCAGGCTCACTCTGACCCAAGATCAGTGGTTATGGATGATGGGGAAGTGACATATCAATAATGATGACAGTTATATGAAAAACTCTTAAACTAGGTAATAAATCATTTAAAATGTATATTGCTGTAATATGTATGCATCATATATTATCATTTATCAGTTCTGCTACACTGACAGCAAAAGTAAAACATTGACCAGGGTGACCGTAATGAATTAAAAATTGAGTAAAAATGTAATAGTTGAATAATATAATTTGCAGACCATGGGCTGATGTAACAAGTAAAAACAGCCACAGCATGCATGATAACCAATATCAAATAATTTAAGTGTGGGTTAATTTTAAAATTAATTTTGCCCTTATGCCATCTTAAATTAAGCTAAAAGTAATCAGTCATTGTCTATGGATACCTGGAATTTAATACTCAAGTTAGTTAATTCTACATCCTTCTGTGCCCGCCATTGTCTTCTACAATTTAAAGTCGTGCATAGGTTCCACATGTCCAAAGTCAAATTATCTCGTATTCCCCCGAATGTGGACCCCTGCTGTGATAAATGTGAGAATGAGGAGGCTTCCCTTATCCCTATGTTCTGGTCATGTCCTAACCTCAAAAGATTCTGGAGAGACAAATGTAAAACTTTGTCCCTAATTCTTGAATACCATATAGAACCTAATCCATTAGTTGCTCGTTTTGGTAAAGATCTGTTTTGGAAAAGATCCGTTATTCGATTAGCAATACCAGCAAAAAGTTTTACAAGGTGTGGGGGCGCTTCCTGAAATATTTTTCAAACCTTCAACTTCCAGCGCTACTTAGTAAATCAATGTAATGGTTCCGTGGTTTTTTTTTTATTTTTTTTTAATTTGGCTTGATAGGGTTATTGTGTGGGATGAGCAGGGATTAAATCGATAAAACACAACAAAAAGATACGTGAATGTGTCAGTACACTATATTCTACTATGTCAGATTATTATCTCGTTCTTTTCTAAAAGCAATCATTGTGAAATGTACTTAGTTATTGTATAATAACTTTGTGTGTCTTTTGTGTTTTCTGGTTTCAATCTAATAAAAAATCTTTGGAAAAAAAATTAAGCTAAATGTAACCCCAGCTTCTTCTGAAATCTCTTGCCCCCCCCCCCCCCATATTATATGATTTGAATTATAACATGAACACAGATTTTAATGAGGCAGGAGTATGATTCAGCTTTAACTCCAAGGACAATGTTATGTATCCCAGTGGTGCTTCATTCTGGACGACACTGCAGCTTTTTAAGCTTGGTGTGACATCTTACAAGCACTTAATGAAAATAATTTGGTTCAATGGCACCTACAGAGACCTTGGCTTGTACAACAGGACACAACCATTGTGATATGGTAGTTTTATAATGAAGGCCATTTGCAAATGAATGATGAAGACAGTGAAAATGACTTCCCTTACAATCGCTTTCATTTCGGTTTTTCCTGACTGGAGGGTAACCACTGATTTACATCAGTAATTTGCATCTGTCAAAAATAAAATGTAATTTCTCTTTTGGAGAAAAAAGTATTTTAATTAAGGTAAAAAGTAAACTGTGGTACAATCAGTATATGGCTAAATGAACCAAGACAGGATTTTTAAAAACCAATGTACTGTATACATATACTGAAAATGACATTAAGTTTTGCCAAGAAGCAAAGTTAGCAAAAAAAAAAAAAAACTTAGTTCATGAAGGCAAGCTAAATCACCGCTTTTGTTTTATTTACGATTAATTTAATGTACTGAAGGCATACATTTATGGTGTGACCAACATTTTTTAGAAGTTGTTTAAAAATGTACAAGAGTATACATTGATTTCTTACAAAACATCAAGGCAAAGTGTGCAAATGATAAAAAGAATGATTAAAACACTGAATGGCAGCAGCATTTTATGCCATTCATCTTAGCTGAGGACCAAGAAAAAGTAAAATTGAAAAAAAATCACATTACATACATCGAATGAGAGCTTCAACAATGAAATACATATTTCCCATCAGGCCTTAAAAAACAAAGCAATAAAGACAAACCCCCCCCCCCAAAAAAAGCAGAAAGTCAGCCTTTGCCACAGCGACTACAAAATGAAAAGGAAAAATCTGTAAAAAAAAATCAGAGCTATACCAAAGCAGAACTAACGGCATCTATGGATGGGAAACCTTCTCATAAAGATTAAGAACATGCATTCCTTCGTCCTGGTGTACACTAAACACACAGCCGTGACCCTAAAGGACGCAGCTGTCAGTGCAGTCAGTGGGGGCACCATCCGAAAGCTTCTTCAGCTTCCTGTCCTCTTTCTGGTGGTCATGTGACGGCGATTGCTGCCTGAGCTCTGAAGGGTGGCCTTCCTCCAGCTGCGTAACGTCCGGGGGGGTCTTCTCCGGTTCCACCTGCAGGTAGGCACGGACCCGGTGGTGCCGGGCCTTGCTGTCGCTGAAGTCGATGACCCGGCATTCATACGTGCCCTCATCCGCCGGCTTCACGCTGGACAGCCGGAGCTTGTGGGAAATGTTGCTTCCGGCCACCTTCACCACCTGACGTCCGACGACAGGACAAGCGGTTATTAAGGACGAAATCAAACAATGAAGTCGCTCGTACAGTGGCTGTCAGTGTAAGGAATGTAAAACGAAAGGAACAGAAAGGGACATTTTGCCAAGGCGAGGTCTTAAGTGTGAAATAATGTCTGGTCTGAATTACATGACATTGGACTGGGCAGGAATGGGATCTTTACTGGTGTATCGTCTATCCGTCAGTGCAAAGAAAGTGGCCTTTCCTTCGTAGCCCGGAATCCCAAGACATACAGTGTATGGGCAAGTTACAACAAAAGGTAGACGTTGTACTTCTTCCACTAAGCACAGCTCATAAACTTTAAAGCATATTATTTTGGAAGGGCTGCCCCCTTTATGAGTCATGTGACTAAAGCTAGCGAATAAACCTCTGGGAAATGTTTAAATTATGCTCAGAGAGGGATAAATGTGCTCCAGTATACCAAATATGCTGTTGCTAGTGCACCAGTCAGTTGACCAAAAGTGAAAAGAAAACTGGCCCTTTCTGCAGGGGCTGGAAAGAAACTGAGACCACCTGCGAAAGCTTTTGCTTGCTGGGGTCCACAGGTTGGCTACACACATCACAGGAAACAGGTGAAGCCAATTAGCATTGCCAACCACACTCACCCGACACTCCCTCCCAAGACAGCCTTCTTGAGAGAGAGTCTCAAATACAAAACAGGCAAACTTGCTTACATTAATGTATTTCTGCTGCGCAAAAAGAAAATAATCTTATCTGTACTGGCACAAAGTAGAGCAATTGAATGAGTCGTGTTTTTTGCTGAAAAGAAATACCCCCCCCCCCACCCCATCCCAATAGCTCCAGACTGCTTGTTCTCTCCTAGAACACATTCCCCCACGTGTTTCCCCCCCTTGCTTCATCATAGGATTGGAACAACAGTCAGAGCCCTTGGGGCGCCCGCATCCCTCGGCTACACTGAGCCGTCCGCAGCCGTAGATGTGACACATCACAGACTCTGACACGACGGCTGCCTTCTCTCGGGGCGCTTAGAGGCGACACAAAGGGGCCCCATCTCTGTTGTGTCATCAATAAAGCCATCTTTCTCGAGGAAACGGATTGACTGCATGCAGGCAGACGCAGTCAAGTCGATACCTTCCTGCACACGCAGACTCACAAGCGACACACTATGAAGACTCCCCTGGACTGTGCGAGACGAGGGAAAAAATAATCCATCCATATTTATTCTAGCTACAAAATCTGTCAGTATGCTTGCCTCCTAGGATAGTAATATACTGAATATGCTGTTGCTAAAAACCTGTCAGCCGACTAAAAAAAACTTACAGTAATAGTATATTCTTAATAGCAAAAGTGGCATATCAATAAAACACTAAGAATTTCGTAGACTATCCTATATTAATTTCTAAATCATATTTACAGTGTAATTACAGAGGCATCCTTAATGTCACCCTAGTAAAGTGCACATCTTCACCATAGAGAGTTACACCACTAAGAATGGCATGATCCAGTAGCAGGTGGTCTGAGTGGGTTGGTTAACCTTGTGCAGGTTACAGTGGAATTACTCTTTGTCAGCAAGAATAATATGACATCAATGTAAAAGCTAGCCTAACCTGGGATGCGTTTTTTGCCTTGGGTTCATGGACCAGCGGGCAACCCTTGTGACATGCAAGTTTTAGGCAGCCAAGCGTTATTTTTGTGTCTCATGCCCTTTGGCAGATCCTTAAATTCGCTGGGCATTTTGGGGTGATTTCATCCTGGGCTTTAATGTGCAGTCTGAATGCGCTTAAGCACCTCGGGGAAATCCCCGAGGGAAACACTGTCAGTAAAAAGGCATCATTAAGAGCCACCCAAATTAAAATATAATATCTTTCATATATAGGATACAAAAATAGACTGAAACTACCCAATCAGGGCACACGAGACAATATTCTGTGGTACGCTACATCATTGTTATTATAAAAAAAAATTCCCACAACCCCATGGCGTGGCCTTAGTTATGAGATGGGCCAAAATAGTTTTGCCCACCAGTGACAAGTTCTGCTTAAATGTAATACGATTTAACTGGCTGGTACTCAGGCTTCCTTTCACAGTCAAAAAACAGACTCTGAATTGCCCATAGCATGTGATTACATGTGTGCGCGCTCCCTGTGATAAACCGGGATCCCATCCAGGATGCCTTTTCCTAGGAGGGGCTCCAGGCTTACTGAATCACTGGACCAGAGAAGTATGGTTATGACAGATGGGTGATGGATAAATTGGCTGGTATTTATTTTAATATTGAGGATACAAACATAAATCAGGCATATTTTCCTTATAAAATAATTTTATAAAAAGTAAAGCCCATAATCCAGTCCACATACTATAGACATTGACCAAGCAAACAGTGATACTAGATGGATTATGTAATCGCCTGACAGATTAAAATGTGCTTAAAAAGCCATTAAGCATAACAGATGTTTCTGGTGAACAGTTTACTACCAATTTTTTGTTGCCTTGACAACCACAGAAATAGAATTTCTCCCATTTCTTATTAGCATTGTTCAGAAGATTGATCACAGAAAGCATTTAATGCTCAGAGACCCTGACTTCCACACAACAACAGGTGAATATTTACCAGACTGCTGCTGGCACAGTGGCAGACTGATGGTGTAATATTTTCAATTGCTGTGGGGAGAATAACATGGCTTTGATGTTCAGGCTGCTGCGGTTTGCGCACTTCATTAGCAGGAAGGCGTCACCGTCACCTTTCGGAAAGGGGCCGATGTCACGCTCTCAGACACAGAGGATGATGATTTAGTCCCCCCACCATGGAAATAGAGGTGGAAAATTCAGGTCCAGAAAGTACAAATCCAGACCAAGATTTTGTTGCAACCAACCAGTTGAGTATGAAGAGTCACAGAGTACTAAACTAGTTGGTTGAACCAAAATCTTGGTCTGAACTTTTACATTCTGGACCTGAACTTTCCCCCTGCTTGCAAACACATACACCTAAATATCTCTAAATTGCCCAGTGTGGGTCTGTCCTGTTATGGGCTTGGGTTGTGTTTACTATGACCTATGATTCCTGAGGTAGGTTCCTGGGATGCTGTTCTGGATGAATGATTAGGAACAATACATGCCACTCTCCTTTTTTGATTCTTATTTTTCCTACTTATGTCCTTCAAGAACTCGACAAATCTTTGAAACTTGAAAGAAAGCATGGAATTAAAGATTGGTGAATTGTTCTACCCTCCATGATGTGAAAGTCAATGGCGAGACAGGTATTGCTAACGCTGAGGTTACCGAACAATTTCGTGGAATCCTTGCAAAAAATAACTGAAATAGGTGAACAGTGTAGATCAAGTGATGGAACTGTTCTGGGGAAAAACAGTGGAATGAATACAGCTTGGTTTTAAGGCCACAAATGATCAGATTACAGTGTAAATTTGGTGTAAAAGACCATTCGCTTTTGAGAACCTCAGTGTCTTTCTGAAAATCCCTGGGTCATTCTGAAAATCCCTGAGCCTCTTCAGGCATTGGTAAAGCTTTCGTCACACTTGCAAAATGTGAGGATAATTTTGAGAAATGGTTCATCCACTGCTAAAGAAATATTGCAAAGAAAATAGCCTTTCCTCCAAAGGTTTTGACAGTGTCCCTGGAAACCCAAGACATATGGGCAAGTTACAACAAAATGTAGAAGTTGTACTTCTTCCACTAAGTACAGCTCATAAACTTTAAAGCATATCACTTTGGAAGGGCTGCCACCTTTAACATGTGACTCAGTATTTATAAAGCTAGAGAGGAAATCCCTCAGAAATGTTCATGCTCAAAGCATAGGAAAAAATCCAAGAGAGTTAGCGTCTTTGCGAGCAGCCATTGGAGCACAAGGTGCATTGTTAGGTCAGCATGAAATACACCTACAAAACATTTCTAAAGATGTTTTCACAAATAAGCTCTGGACATTGACTGGAGAATCAGGTACAGACATATTCTGCAGTTGCCCTCTCACACGTGGCACACAACCGGAGAACATCCTTGTGAGATGCAAACTCACAAATTCCGAGGTAGCAATTTCAGGTCCAGAAAGTAAAAATCCAGACCATGATTTTGTTTCAACCAACCAGTTGAGTACTCTGTGACTGTGACTCTTTATGCTCAACTGGTTGGTTGATAGTAAATCATGGTCTGGATTTTTACTTTCTGAACCTGAAATTGCCACCTCTGCTCACAAGCAACATTTTTACACATGAGGCATAACACACCTACTATAAATACTCTGGTAAGTTTAGATGTGGGGTGGCGCTTGGGTAGCGCATGCACGAGGCAGGGCAATGTGCAAAAAAAGGACACTGCAGTAATTACAGTGTTTTGTTACCAGCTCTACTGACAGAAGTTCCCAAATCCCATTGTCTCTCCAGTTTGCCATGTTTGTTGGGGTCTTCTTTGTGTAAACTACTCCTCTTCTTTGCCCTCACATGTTTATATTCTTCTGTTTTCACGTCATCAGCATGCCTATTAAGTTATGGTGAATTCTTCAGAATTCTCCCTGTTCCATTCACACATGGAGGTCAATCACAAATTTCCTGGACTTTGTATTAGGGAGTTAGCAAAGTAAAGTCCATTTAAGGTCTGGCGTGACTGATTCGAATATTTGTGTTCACAAATACAGCCCGTCTGGGCAATGTCTAGAAAAGTTCAGGGTGTTAGTGCATGTCTGAAAGGGGCTTAAATCTCAAGATGAGGTGCTACAAATTCTGCACACTGGATCTTTACCCACCACGTCACCATTTGCATCTGCAGATCCAGTTTCTTCTCCAGCACAGAGTAATGCAGCAACTAATGTGAAGGTTTCCAGTCACGACATTGCATTAGTCAACCTACTGTGTTCCATGATGTTCAGATTCCACACATTTATTTTGCTGCTCGTGGATAGGATTTTACACTGCGCAACCATAATCTGGTCTCAAAGGGATCCTAACCTCCCCATCAGATTCCTGTCTACTTTTATAAAATATGTTTCAGATGCGTTTCACCACCCTTTGAAGGGCAGAAGCGCTGGAAATCATATGCTGGCTCTTCAACATACTGTCAGAAAAAAAGTACCAGTTTGTATCTTTGCTTATTATTTGGGCTGTATCCTCAAAATTCTGCTAATTGTTCCCTATAGTTGTAGGTAATTGTACCTTTTAAGGTAAAGAAATGGACTATATGGAACATTTTAGTACCACTGGTGTAACATAGATGTCTGTACTTTGGGGATGTTCCTCAAAGTTCATTTGTGTACCTTAAAAGGTACAGTTACCTACAGCAATAGGGAACAATTGGCAGACCCTTCAGGGTACAACTCCAGTGATACACAAAGGTACAAATTGGTACAACCTTTTCTGAGAGTGCAGGGGAACAAAACTGCAGAAGAATATGCCATAGAATTCTAGACTCAAGTTGGGACAGAATAGTAGCTGGAATGACTATGCACTGATTATGAGAGTTTCTCCCATTTACATTCAATCCCTAGACCATCTTCCATCTGCCTTTGTCAACCCAAGTGACAACAGTGGAGTATGCATGCAACTTAGTCAAATGCATCTGTTGTTGGAAGAGGAAAGGTATAGAGTGGAACAGCACCCGAGTCTATTCTGTGGTCATTCTGGGCATTCAGGGCAAGCTGTCCTTCTCAGTTCAGTGCTATATGCCCACTCACCTACACTAAGAAAATGCACGGTACAATTGTAATTACTTTAAATTTTTAGTAGATTGGGCCACCTGTGATGAATTTGCCACAATCCCAAAATTTCATGTTCTAAGAACAAGCTAATTGACTGCGAAGGACAGTTTTTTCGTGCCTTTCTTGCAAAGTGTAGACAATCTAATAGGCTCTGGGAATCTTTTCTTTCCCCCAGAGTCTCAAGATCTAGCAAAGGTCTTCAACAAATAAATGACCACCTGTCTACCACCACATCGACCTTGGGATTGTGCTATTGATCTGCTGCCTAAAGGTCAAATCTATTGTCCGATCCAGGCTCACAAGCTATGGCAAAGTCTATTTAGGAAGCTTTATATCAAGGATTCCGAGGTGGAAATTTCAGGTCCAGAAAATAAAAATCCAGACCAAGATTTTGTTTCAACCAACCACTTGAATCACTGTGACTCACTATATTCAACTGGTTGGTTGAAAAAACATTGGTCTGGATTTTTACTTAATGGACCTGAAGTTTCCACCTCTGCAAGGATTCATATACCCGTCTACCTTGCCTGCAATGGTGTCATTTCTTATTCATAGAGAAGGATAATGGTGGTTTCTGACTTGGTATATCAACTACCTGAGCCTAAATTACGTCATGGTGCAGTATTATTAACTACAACCTCTGGTTCCTGCAGCCCTGTGCAACTACAGGAAGCTAAGTACAGTAGTTCACAAACTTAGACCTGTGAAGTGCATGCTACCTGTTACGGGTACATGAAGGTGATAAGTGGAACCCCACATTCAATGCCAACCGTAGCCATTCTGAATATTTTATCATACCCATATCAGCCTAGTGAATATGCTGTCGGTTTTCCAGATCTTAATCAATGAAGTTCTACACGTGGACCTTGGAAGATCTGTCATTGTTTATAGTGACTATTCCTTAATTTACCTGATTATCAAAGCCACATGTTTCATGTTCACCTCTCTTGCAGGAGCTCCTTACTAAAAGTCCCTTCATCCAATTAGTGTAACATGAGCTTCACAAAACTGAAACCCAGTTGCTTGGGTATGTGTTTAATCCTCAATGAGTACTAACAGATCACTAAAAAGGTACAGTAGTACCTAAAAAAAAAAAGTGAGGTAAACTTACATCAAAGAATTACAGAAATTCCTGGGGTTTATAAATTTATATCATAGTATTTATGAATTATTTCAGTTATTTTGCAGCACCACTCACAACCTGGATAAGAAAGTGGTAATCTAATCGTCAGTGTCTGATGTGAGGGCAATTCTGTCCCAATTGTTAAGTGAGGCACATAAGAATGGTCTCTCTGGAGTAGATGCATTTTGACTTCGACGATGGGAAGCTACTAGCAATTAAATTAGCTATTGAGGATTCACTTTCTGGTGCCATTAGCCCAATGGAGCTCAGCATCCTTTCCATGTTCTTACCCATCTTGAAAGTCTGTGTCAGGAGTGCTGGTGTTTATTCTTCATTTAGGTCCAGTTTTAGGTCCGGCAGATCGAAGAACAAAACAACTGATTCTCTGTCCAGACTCCATAAAATCAAGAAGTTCCAGAGATAATTCTACCTCCCACATGCAGTGCATCCGGTGGGAAATCATGGATCAGATCCAACGGGCATTTAATTCTAATCCAGCTCCTACTCAATGTCCTGCCTACAAGACCCATCTTCCATCAATGGCATGCCTCTCTCTACTGCATCATCCCCATCCACTGAAATATCATGGAACAGATCCAACTGGCCCTTAATTTTGATTCAATTCCTATTGAGTGTCCTTCCCCTGAGTAAGCCTCCCCCCACTGCAGTGGATTCACTTTATTTCTCCTACAAGACAGCCAGGTAACTGGCACCCACTGCCCCAAATCAACACCGTCTGCAGGCCTCAGATTATGAAGTAAACTAATTTGTCAATGCATGTCCCAACCGTGCTCAATTAGATGCATCTCGTCGGCTGTCCTGTGGTATCTTATAACCTCAAGCCACACCTTATAGACCTGGGTCTCATTTAGCCATTGACTTTGCCACCAGTCTCACATACTCTCAGAGAACAATGTCTATCCTAGTGCCTCTGAATAGATTCTGCAAGGGGTGTTAGCTAGTTTTGTGAAAAAGATAACCCACTGCACTGGATACTGCAGATTTTATCCCACCATGTCCTTAAAACCTACATGCTGCCACAACATTTCTTGAGATGCTCCAGGTACAGTCCAGCAGCCAGACCAGACATTTCAATCAGGAAATCATGAGGTTTTTTTGCACCTTCTGTCATTTCCACAAGTGGTGTAGGACACTCTCCCCTCAGGCTCCCTTGTAAGAAGCTAAATTCTAGGCTCATTGGTCCTTTTCCATTTGTGTAACAGCTTGACTCCATACTCTACAGTCTCATTCTACCATCACAGTACAAGCTAAAACTCTCATTCCATGTGTCCTTATTAAAACTGCAAGTGCAGGCAGCCACCTTCTAGGCCATTCCCAACACTTCATCTGAGTGCTCCTGGGCTCCCATAGCTGGCTACAATACTTGGTGGATTGGGAGGGCCAAAGGAATGTGCTTGGGTACCAGTAGGAACAATGAACACCATCTGGAATGATTTTTGAATGTTAACAGAAAGCCTTGACATAAGAAATGTGATATTTTTTGTGAAGAAAACTCTATGGCTAACTCTTAATATGAAAAATCTTAAAATCTCATCTGCACCTCTTTCCATCATCTCAACCTGAAACTTGTGCTACCATTTATGATCATGTGACAAACATCTTGGAAGCAAACCAACAACGGCATCCAGAAAAGACAATGTAAGTTTTTTTTGACTCGACCACTAGCCCACCTTCTTTGGCTAATCAATACATCAATGACTTATTTAAATAAATTAATTAATTATTTGGGCTAGTGGTGAAGTTTAACGAATTTATGGATGGCTGATGTGCCCCTGAGGAGAGGTCTGTGAACCAAAGAGGTGTTCATATGGCCATCCAACACATATCAGGAACTTTTTGCACAAAAAATACCTTCAAAATGCATTATAATGGTCAGTATAAGCCATTATAATGCATTATGAAGGTATTTATAGTACATTATAGATGAGAGCTTCATAGAGTATTCATAATGCATAATACACATGGCTAAAATGTGTTATTCTTTTTTATAAATATTTAGACGTGCTTATAATACTTTATGAATGTATCATAATGTATATATATATAATTATGTATTACATTATATATGTATATATATATATAATGTAATACAGGTATCTATAATGCATTATACATGAATGATTTAAATGTTACTGAAATTATTTTTATAGTGTTACTGTTAATTTACATATGTTCTATTTTTTCCCTGTGCAAATATACAGTTATTACCCAGATAAATACCCTTAAACACTTTCTTTGCTCGAGACTTTTACACAGTTGTATCTGAAATCTCTACAGTCTGCGTAGGAGTGTGTGGCCTGTGACAGACTGGAGTCCAGTTCACGCTGGGACTGAAGATGATGCTCCAAACGCTTACTCTAATTTAGTATACATATATAGTATTTCATATGTGAGTGGGGGAGGGGGCTGTTTTCTTGCAGGCAGAGCATACTCACGCTTATTTTTGTGGCATCTGTAACCATCTCATCTTCGGGCACCACCTGTAAAAGAGGGAACAATTAAAGCCTTTCACACTCCAAACTGTCAATTAAAAAACTGTGGCAGTCAAATGCATCCAGTAGCTTCTATTTTTGCCTGAAGCAAAGGCAACCTGCTGTACTGTAGTTATATATCTTAACCTCATCCTATTGCTATCCCTTCATCATGGAAATTATTGTTGGCAAAAATGTGATCAACGACAGGACATCTTATTGGAATTATGCAGTAGGCACGTTAATTTTGACAGGCTAGATTGTTGTTAGTGAAATCTATCTGGGCAAAAATAAGGTAATTATGCTCAAAGTTTATTCAAAGCAGGAAAAAAAAGAAAATACCAGGGGAATAAAAATTATTCTGGGTTTGCATTGAGTTATGCAGGAGGGTTAATGAGCAGAAGGCTAGTCAATCTGTTTTCCTCTCTTCCAATTAAAGTGTCTGATGACACAACGGGGGACTGAAAATTTTCATCTTCAGAACAAGCAGTGAGATTTTTAATCTGCTTTTTATATCTTTCCAAACATCAGGGACTGGTTCTAACCCTCACAGTGGATAAAAGATTATTTGTTTGCTGAAAACTTAGTTTACTTTAGCTATGACAATTTATTTATTTAGTGTTTTTAAATATTGCAAGTAGACATTTATTTTGTACTTAATTAAAAACAAAAACTGTAATGTGGATACTTATTCTTCCATTTAAAAAATAAACAGTAATCTGTTCATTTATTTATTTATTTTTGTGCATTGATTTACTCAATAAGCCACGCCCCACCTGATTGGTCATCCAGGCCTGCTTGTCCGTCCAGTCTTTGTGGTGCCTGATGTACCACCACTGGATCTCCAGGGAGTATGAAGGAGAGCCAGCCCCCCGGAAGGAGCAGGCCATCTCAACATCCTGCCCGCTCTGTGTGATGATGTCATGGGGAACTTCTGTGAAGAGTGCTGTGAGACAAGCCATAAGAAAACAGATGTGCCGACTGAGGAAATAATACTACAGATAAGCTCTCTTTTCAATATGTTTAAAATAAACCAAGCCACCAATTTCAGCTCCTTTTATTTGCCTTGGTTCTAGATTACATGCTGTTGACATTGCAGATGGGTGACATTATCTATGACTGCAGTGTAGTTTCCTGCTGTATGCACCAGAGCCTTAAGAGCAGCACAGCACTGCATCCAAGTCCAAATGCAGTGTACTTCACCATGCCCTGCGCCTTCTCGAGGACCCCGCAAATGCAGGCTTAGCGAGGCTAACCAGCGGGCTTTGACAAGAAGAGGAAGAAAAATAGCACACGTTTACAGTGCTTGCAGAGACCATTCCTTTTGTGCTGATGCTATACTGACGGAGCTATTACTGCGATGTCTGTTTGGTGAAAAATGATTTCAGATCTGCACTGTGAGGTTGCAGTTTAGAGGCGTTCCTGCTGCTTGCACCGGCTCCAGTTTAATGAAGCTCTGCTGGCTCCAGTTAACAATACCCAACAAGGATTAGCAGAAAGAAACCCAGCTGAGATGAGAGCAGGAGGAGAGGAAGCTTCTGCCTTAAATAGATGTGAGGAACGGCATGTGATCTTCTTGAGAGATAAATACAATGTTTCTGCTCAGGTCCTGGTTTTAGGATGTTATTCTTCAAAGGATAAACTCCTGTTCTTATGTTAACAGATACTAAAAACAAGTATTTATTTTAAACCATACTTTGTTTCCTCTGTCCCACCAACTGAGCAACTTATACCTCAGTATCCTCATCCACAAAACAGCCATTTAGCCAAAGCTAAATGATACTCTCCCCCTCTATGCTCAGCAGAGCGCAGTTGTGTCAGTTTAACGTCGCTCCATTTGATTCTACTCGCACCTGTGTTCCGCCATGCCACGTACGCTCTTGGAAACGGTTGACGTGCTTGCACACGTTTCCATAATCCAGCCATAATGTGAAGCCTCTTGCGATAGGCCTTTGAAGTATGGCTCAGAAAGATACCGACAAAAATTACCTTTACCCTCAAATATGTCAGTCTACTACCCTCTAGTCATATAAACAATTAGCTGGATAGGTTTCCTGACCAATGTATTATGATACTTATTTTCATGGACAATAAAGTCCATGCAAATCCTGTTTTTTGATACATATGCCAAGAATATTTAAGGTAACACATACATACAACAATCTCAATATGGCCGCCAGAGTTCTTGAACCTCATGGCTTCTACCAAAAGATTTTGAAAACTGCAATAAACCACATTTCAAACTGGTTTAAGACTAAAGAAGTTTCTCCTTGATGGACCATTAACTGGATTTGTTTACTATAATGGATGTCATTAGGAAAAAATAAAAATGTGCTTTCAGCTCTGGTGATTCAGCTGTCTATGGCTTTGCTGCAGCCTTGTCTGATTAATATGCATTAATATGTGTCTTTACCCCTTTTGCCGGCAAAGAGTAAAAACTGTTGATGAAATTCAATTGAATCGTTCCTTTTATTAAGCCTGTGCACTGCTGATTAAGGGCTAAAATTTACACGTAATCCAGCCTACAGTACCACAGTGAGAAATAAAGCTCACTGTGCTGAAGCTTCATTCTTGTTTCACCACACACTTAGTGATCTGCAGCTAATTACAGCACTAAATCTATAGCCAAACTATTTTGCGCACTGAGTATTAAAAGCTGAAGCAGAAAGCCTACTACCTTGGATGTATGTAATGCCTTCCTGTGGATTGATTTGACAATGAAGGGAATAAAGTATAGCAAATATTAGAGGGGGTATAATTTCAAACTAACTAATCAAAGATTTCCAGCCGAACCCCATTTGATTCAAATGAATTTACAGTTCAACTGCATTCCGATTCCTTTTTCATGAAAGCCATAAAATCTTGCTGAATTACCTTTGCAGTAATAAAATAAAAACAATTACCTAGTGCGTAATTGTTACAACTTTATCTGCCATTTCATAATTTCAGGTCTCCAAGGAAACAATTATGAGAGACTTAGGACCCCCCCGGGCAGTTATTATCCTGCTGACATTTAAAAACATCTTGGTAGTCTTGTCAAGAAACTTCAGCTCCAATAAAGTCACACAATAAACTACCTCCTCCGGAAATCGTGAGGATCAAAACAACACAAACCACCTTCTTATATGGAACTGGTGAATCATTATGATGCAGGTGCATTAATATTCTGCATAGAAGTAATTTTCAAAGTTGCACATCCACCGCATTAGTCGTGCAGGCTGATGGAGGCTTCTTCCAGAGATTATTTTTAGACCGAATTACTTGACTGCAGCATAAAATGACTGCCCTGTGCCTTTTTTCCTGCGGTACTTTGAAATGTAAAGCAAACCAATTAATCGTGATTAAACCTGTGCACACAGTTTCCTTCTCAATTTTAATAATCCTCTCTTACAGACCACCGCTAGCAAAATTTGATCCCTGAGAACAGGAGGAATGGTTTAATAAATATTCCACATCTATTGTGTACCTGTAACATTCTCAGCGTGGGGTGTGAATGCTCCACAAGTTGCTGGAAATCATGATCTGCTGCACTCAGAAATGTAGGAACTGTCAGCCAGAGGGGGAGGAAGGACGAGCAGGTAGGTGGGAGTACAATGCTGGTCAGGTCCACCTGCTACCCAGACCAGATACGCAGCTAAATCCATTAGCCACACATATTATAGAAGCATCCTCCTGTGCTTAAAGCAGTAATGGACAATGAACTGCATTCTCACACAAACCGCTCTCATTGCGGCTGAACCTTACTTCTGTTTCACTCCATGTACTGTGTGAGCCAGTGGGAGCCATGCCCAAACCAGCAGCCTGCATTTGGATGCATTTTTCTTCCTTTTTTGCTGTCACAGTGATTGATCACCAGCCCTGTGCCAATAGTTTCCCACAATTAACACCCAGCTGGCCCTGATTGGACTGATTACATCATTAGGGATAAACAGGGCCAGCTGGGTAGGTATTGGAGGAGAGTCACCAGCTTGGGACTTTCTCATTTGCTGTTTATAATGCTTGGCACTGTTAGTCCTTTGACTTGTGTCATTTTTTAATAGTACTTTGTACTATTCTTTTTTAATAGTTTAGCTATCTGAAGATATGTTATAGGAAGTAAATAATCCTGGCTAAGGACACTCGTCATTTTCATCATCAGTCCCGAGACTGATGTCAGATGTTTGCAGCTCGTCAGCAAGTCCCTCTGCTGTAATGGGGCAGCTACCCCCTTGAACTGCGTAGCTGAGGTGACAGTCGGCTTCTGCAGTTAAAGGAGCCGGTGCTCTCCGGTGCTCAGAGGGACCAGCGCATGGCCAAAGCACCCACGCAGATCGGCTGACACACGGAAGGTGACCGCAACTAGCCTCATCTCAGCCGGTTGGAGACGGACTTCCCCAAACAGCAAGCCGTGGACTCTTCTACTCCCCTCATTATCACACGGGTACTGCCATTGAGTACAGCTGCTTAAACTTTGTGATGTGCTTTGCATCATCGTGTACGAAAACAGGCCCGTGTGTCAGGTACATCTCTATGCCTGCAAATATACTTTTCATAGCATTATCGCAAGATGAAAGGCAAATGGGATCTTAAAAATCCAAAAAAAACTACAAGACTTAAAAGGAGAAGATAGCTCAAAGAGACTTAAAGCACTCTTTACCTCTTCAGAATTCAGCTGAATTTTATTTCAAAGGGTTTCACTGTTGGAGAATCAATACTGCAGCCATTGCGAAAGCAAAGAGCTGTGAAATAAAATGTGCTCTTAATTCTGTTCTCCCTCCATGCTGTTCACCTCGTCCTTGTCCATCTCGCTGAAAGGAGTCTGCGGTTACACCAGCAGTTCCTCTTCCAAAGGCTGCAGTGTTTGTTGTTAATACTCTTCACTTGGATATATGGAGAGAGTCAGTTAACCAATCAATTCACCCCCAGCTTATCTGATTTGCTTCTCTTATCTACCCTTTTACCTATATGACACTACCTGGCCCACAGTCCCCCCAAGCAAGATTAATCTTCTATATTTAAATTATCAGAGCATATTTCTAAGATAAGGTGGCCCATGACAGAGAATGGAATATAAGAACATAGGATCTAGGAAAAATAAGAATCGTAAACAACTGGGCTGGTTTGCAAACTTGTTTCATTAAATCAACATGTAAATAAAGTCAATACAGGTTAACTTAAAATCAATACAGCTTCCCCTATAATCAAGCTAATTAGACAGATATCCATTTGTAGGATTAAGATGAGCCGCGAACCTATTGTGGAGGTATGGGACCACAAAGTCCATGGTCCATATCTCTGGTTCACAATGAAAAAGCATTTTGCTAATTTGTATTCACAAAGGACAGCCTGGCTACAAACAAGTATTATGATTACATGTATAGGAATATCAACATATCAATAAATGTAAATGCAGAATATCATGTGAAAAGAACAGACTGCAAAAGGCTATGGGTTTGTGATCTAAGGGCAGCATAAACTAAAGAGCAGGATCCCACAATCAATCCCACAGAACATTCTGGAACCTTCTGCAGTGCCACCAAGAGACCCTGTTTAATCACTTAGCTTGGACATTCGTCCAAAAAAGATTTTATTTACAACTAGTACAGCTGGATAGTTCACTGGAGCAATTCCGACTTAAGTGCTTTTCTCATGGGTACAACAGCAGGGGCCGTCTGATAAAACGGATTTGGCAACTTATAGGCTCCTAGTCGTCATTGCTGACTTCATGCCGCCTGCAGACCCGACCCCTGCTGCCCATCAGCGGCTGACCTAACAGGAACTGACAGGAAGCCAACTCCGCCACTGGTAAACCTTCTCCCTTAATGTCCACGCAGCTATTAAGAAAAGCGCGACTGTGGTTAGTCTGCTGGCTTTGGAGACTCAGAGCCGACCTTGGGGGCTTTCCAGAATTTTCCACACCAACACTGAACATCAAAAAGTGCCAATTACTTTCATGTTCATCCATAA